TCCTGGACATTTGCTGAGGTTCCAAGAAGGAACAGACATACATTAGGGAGTTTTCTCACCAGGGAGTTCCCTGGGCCATTGAAATGATGAGTCTAATCCCTAAATGGTTAGGAAATAATCAGTATCATTACTAATAATGATAGCCAACCTTTAGCTAGAATTTTATGGTTTTCAAAACTCTGTCCTACATTATGTCATTTGATTTCATATCTCTGTGAGACAGACAGGACTGGGGTTATTGTTCCCATTTTATTGAAGAGAGGACAGACTCCAGAGGGGTACAATGAATTAGCCTAGGTCATATCAGCTTGTAAATGTCAGAGGCTGCCTTGAAGCCAGATCTCCTGACCTGGGTCCAGAGCTCTTTCTGCTCCGCACAGCACCTCCTTTTCTGATTTGGGGGTATATCATTCTGTCTGATCTGAGTCCCAGCTTCCTGCCTTCAAGATGCCACCTCCCCTGCTCATAACAGTGAAAAGAGGAAGGAGATCTCATCCTAGGAGTGCCTCAGACATGTAATCCTGATCATTCAAAGCACTTTTCTCCTTTGGGGAGATGGCAAGGAAATGGTGGAAAGAGAGCTGTGCTCAGAGCCAGCATCTGGACCAGGGGCAGGTCATAGACAATCAGGCACAGAGCTACTTCAGACTACAAGAGGAGGCTCCCCCATCAAATAACAATGAAAATCTACTCCCACCGAGGTTCAGTGACCTGCCCAAGGACACACAGCAGAGGCAGAAATCCAACTGCCAGCATTTCCAAGGCCCTTCCCTACCATTCCTGCCTCACCAAAGCCCTTGGCACAGGGCTGAAAATATAGTGAGGTCTCAATACATCATGACTGAACCAAAGTGAGGCACAGTTCTGGGAAAAATCAGTGGCCCCCAAACTCCTATCCAGGGAGAGTGGGTGAGCCGAATCCCTAGGCAGCCTTGGGGAAGTATGTACTGAAAGAACACCATGTCTGGTGCCCGGTGGAAGGGGGGCTGCCTGTGTTTGCCTGAGTCTAGGAAGATGAGCCCCAGGTTTCTGTTGTTCAAGCATCATTTAAGCTGGAAAAAGCAACACTTTTTCACCCTCCCAGCCCTTTCCCTCAATCACCAAGCAGCGCTGCCCCCTCCACCTGCCCCAGGGCCATCTTTGCTCCCGATGTCCCCTCGGACACTTTCTGGCCAAGATGAAGGTGTCCGACTCAAAGCAGCTGAGGCCTGGCATCACTGGGAGCCCCCAGGTCTGACCCAACCATTGTCTGGTCATGCTCCTCTACTCAAGTGTCTGCTAGGATGCCCTATTACTTAGGGGCTAAAGGCCAAACCCATTTGTGTGGCAGTCAAGGCCTTCCACAATCTGGCAATGCGGCAAGGTGAGGAAACAAAACAAACCCTGGCTTGGAGGCAAAGGACTCCAACTTCTGCCCCTGCAATTTATGCTGCATGAGCCAGCTTAGTGTGGAGCACATGTGCTGATCTGAATTCAAATCCTTAGACCCTTATTAGCTTTGTGATGCTAAGCATATACCAGAACTGCTGCCTGACTCAGTCTTCTCCTCTGTGGAATGGGATCGTAGCAGCGCCTTCCTCAAAGGAATGTTGAAAAGAATCCTTGAGTAACATATCAAAAGCCCATCTTAAACCTTCGAGTGCCTCAGTCGGCCCATAAGCTGTTTTCATGAAGGGGCCCAGCTCTTTGGCTTTCCAAGTCCCTTCCCTCTCTGCATCTCGGAGTCCATCTTCACAGACTTGGCTTCCGTCACTCCTCTCCATGTAAACACAGCTCTCTTTCTACCAAAAGGCCTACCTCCCTTGGCCTGGAATGGCCTCCTTCCCACTTGGGCTGTGGAGTCCCTCCTGGCCTTCCATAGGGCCTTCCAAAGTCGCCCTTCCCCAAGAAGGCCTCCCTCATCTCCCTCATCCTCACGACCTCTTTCCCCAGACATCGGCCCCTCTCCAGCGTACCTAGTCACAATTTTTCAGTTGTTTTTATTATTCATAGAATAATAAATGGGGCTTAGAACAGTGCCAAGCACAGAGCAGGCATTTACGAGTGTTTGGTGATTGATTGTTCACTCTTACCTCCCTCTCGCATCGCATGAAACTTAGGAGAGAAAATGCAACCTCAAAAATCCCCTCCAATAGGATGTCTCCCCTGCCTGTGATAAACTCACACAAGGGTCCCTGGTAGATGGGCCAAGAGAGATAACTATTAAATGTTAAATGTTAAATTCACATCATCTGTGTGAATAAAATCAATAAGAGCTAGCATTCATATAACACTTTAAGGGCTGCAAAACTTTTTTCTCAACAAATATCTCATTTTATCCTCACAACATCTTGGGAAGGTAGAAGCTATTATTACGGCCATGTTACAAATGAGGAAACCGAGGCAGACAGAGAGTAAGTGACTTGCCCAGGGTGTCCAAGGGCCAATTTGAATTCATGTCTTCCTGACTTCAGGTCCAGCATGTTATCCACCATGCCACCTAGCTGTCCCTAGAAAGGCATAAAACCAGAATGTATTTGCTCACTGAAAATAACCATTATAATGAAGGGTGGTCTGAGAAGAGTGGGCATTGAGGAGGGGCTCCCTCTAAATGGAGAGGTCCTTCATGTATTCCTGTCTCTGGATGACCCTGTACTGATTGCATCAAGCCTCAGAACCCCCTCAGAGAGATTGAAGGCCACTCAAAATTTGAGCCTGGTCTGGTCATCCACACGGAAAAAAGCGGATGAGAAATCCCTAGTGGGGGTTGGGCAGTCCACTGAGTTAATCCTTCTGAGCGCATATCTTGGACAGCAAGCCTGCATTCAGACAATGAGCCGCCCCAAGCCAAGCAGGCAGAAGACAGCAGGCTGGATGGCTTTGGGGTTTGGCATCTGTAATACAAAAGAACTCAGATTGAACATGTACATTTCTGCCAGCTGCCCCTCAGTGCCCTCCCCTGGGCACAGCTCATCTGTCTCCTTCTCTCTCGGCCTCAGTGTCCGGCCTAGATTAAGGGAGTTCTGCCACTGCCCTCTAAAGTCCCTTCCGTGTTCAAGGATGCCTCAGGCAGCCCTGAAGCATCGTGTTCTAAGGTCCTTCCCAGCTCTGGCATTCACCGATCTGGGCTCCCCCCCAGCTCCAACAATCTCTATTCTGAGGAACTCGCCAGCTTGGACATTCTGTGTGACAGGGTCCTTTCTGGTTCTGATGTTTAGCATCATAAGATCTCACTGGGCAACATTCCACATTCTAAGGGCCCTCCCAGCTCTGACAATCCACTTTCTCAAGTTCCTCCAAATGAGTCTCTTCTCAGTGCTGACATCAGGCACCTGCCAGAATGATAACCCAAAAAAGGCTTTTTTCCCTCTCCTTTGATCCTGCCAGGGACCAGGGTCTGGGTCCCCTGAAGCCACAGGCATCAGAAGAGGTGGGCAGCCCCAGAACTGAAGAGAGAAGACAGCAGCCAGAGCCAGAAACACCACATAGTCCCGTTGGGCAAACCCCAAGAAAAGGCCCCCAGGAGTGAGATGTAGATTCAGATGTTCTGCTGACTTCAGCAGAGCAGGCCCTGGCCTTGTCTTCTCTGTCCACCATTCATTCCTCTTTTAATGGAGGCTCTGACAAAGAAACATACACTTCGCCTCTGAAAGTCTCTGAGAGGATGCACACCGAGTCAAGGGCACGTTGACATATCTTGAGACTAGCTGACTTCCTTTCCAACTCACCATAAAACAGGCTGCCCTCGCTGGGCCAATCTGCTGGCGGCGCACAGGAATCTTTCTAAATCAGGAGTGTGGGAGGAACAGGATTTATAAACGAACCAGAGAGACACAGAGTCTTTCTTAAATTAACTTCAGAGGGTATAGAGCTGGAAGCACCCAGAGAGATCATTTTACAGAGAGGAAAACTGAGGCCCACAGAGGGGAGGGCCTGGTCCATCACTCAATAAACATTTATTAAGCGCCTGCTAGGTGCCAGAGCCCAGCTACAAGTACAAGTGTGCTCACTACCTGTGTGACCTGGGGCAAGTCCCTTACCCTCTGTGGGCCCAGCTTCCTCATCTGCAAAACGAGGGTACAGGGGAAATAGTCACTAAGGCTCCTTCCAGCTCTAAATCTTTGATCACATGATTCTAAATCTTGGGGTCTTTCCATTCTATTATATTATCTTTGTTTCAATAGAGAAAGGGAAATTGGGAAGAGGTAGAGAGAGAGAATTCTGACTTTTCTTTTCATTACCCAGAGCAGAATTTTGAGCATTTAAAAACATGAAAATAGAACAGCATTTGCTGGCTCTGTCCCCTTTTCTGTGTCATTCCTCTTCTCCCAGCTTCAGTTTCCTCAACTGTTTGGAGGGAGGGGGTTAGGCCCTCCCAGCTCTAACATTCTATATTTTAAGCTCCCTCCCAGCTCTGACATTCCCTGTTCTGAGGCCTCTTCCAGCTCTAACATTCCCGGTTCTAAGCTTCCTCCCAGCTCTAACATTCTATATTCTAAGCTCCCTCCCATCTCTGACCTCCCTGTTCTAAGGCCCCTCCCAGCTCTAACCTTCCTGGTTCTAAGCTTCCTCCCAGTTCTAACATTCTGTATTCTAAGCTCCCTCCCAGCTCTGACATTCCAGGTCCTATATGCTTTCCTTCAGGCGGTTATCCCTTTTACCATCTTAAGGATCACTGGCAAACACCACTCACTTTAAGAAAAAACCCAGCTTTTTAGACCAAGAGAAAACAAAACCAGTTTCAACTCTTACCACCCTGAACACCAGGCCACTCTTCCCAATGGCCTATAGAGCAGGCCCTGGCAGTGGTGAGAAGATCCCATTTCTGAGACAGCCCAAGCAGCAGCAGCAGGGGCTGCCAGCCAGTAAGCTTGGGGGGAGGGGGAGGGGAACGGGCGCCATATTTAACATGTCAAGAATTCAGCCATTTACAGAAGTTCTAATTCAGCAAAGAAACTAGATGGGGGTAGGTTAGGTGAAGAGACCTGGGCCAGCCCAGGAAGTTCAAGGGGCATCCTTACCTTCACACTGCCTGCCTTCCCCTTTGTACCCTGGCTTGCAGAGGCATTTGTAAGCTTTGGGGGTGTTCTGACAGATCGCATCAATGTGGCAGTCATCCGTCCCCTCGGCGCACTCATCTGTGTCTGAGGAGAGATGATCAGAGTCACATGTAAGGCAAAGCTCTGCTCAGCAGCAGCAGCCCTGGAGAAGAAAAGCCAGACACCCCAGAAGCATATTCCCAGCACCTTCAGACTCTCAATGCTCTCCGGCTCTGTTTCTGGGCCTCTCTGTCTCTGTCTCTGCCTATGTCTTGCTGTCTCTATTTTCTCTCCCTCTCTCTCTCTCTCTCTCTCTCTCTCTCTCTCTCTCTCTCTCTCTCTCTCTCTCTCTCTCTCTCTCTCCCTCTGTGTGTGTCTCACTCTTTCTCTGTCTCACTCTTTCTCTTGTCTCTCTGTCTCACACACACACACACACACATACACACACACACACACACACACACACACACACACACCAGGATCCCTTATAAAACAAGCCCCAAGTACCAGCTGCTCTCCCCCCTCAGAATCCCAGAGCTTTCACTACCTAACTCAAAGATAGGGGCAACATTTACATTTTAGGTTCTGAACCTCAGTTTCCCCGTCTGTAAATGAGGGAAATAGACTGGGTGCTGAAGAACTGCACCTCTAAGCATTCAGGGTAAAATGGAGCTAGTCAATACCCTTCTTTCCCTCCCCCCCACCCCGAGTCCAAACTCTCATCAGATGGATGCAGAGTCTCCACAGGCACAGACATTTAGGGCGGGGATGCTGAGTGACTGGTCACAAGGACAGGAGACCTAGGTTCAGGTGCCGGCTCCTACCCTTCCTAGCTGTGTGATCCTTAGGAAAGCTTTCCCCCTCTCTGAGAGTTAATTTTCCTGTCTGTAAAATCAGAACAATCGTACTTAGGCTCCCTAGCTCACAGAGGTGTTAGACAATTCGCAAAGTCAATTCTCAACAGGCATTTATTAAACATTTGCTATATACTAGGCACCATGCTAGAGAAATGAGCGCTACCAGAACATGCTCTTGCTGGCTCTATCTCCTTCCCCTCCCTCTCCACATCCACTCTGGTTCCAAGCTGATTTCTGCGTCAAGCCCCAAATCCACGGGGCTTAGCCTGGGTTTCCAGGTCTCCTGACCGCCTCGTGTATACCTCTCACATTGGGTTTATCTACCAGTGAGCTAGCTAGCTGGCTGGCTAACATGACTACATCATGACTACCTGTCAGGGCTGTTGTAAAAGGAATTCCAGGTTAGGTCTGGATTCAAGTAATCACTTTTTTTTTAAGGCAATTGGGGTTAAGTGACTTGCCCAGAGTCACACAGTTAGTAAGTGTCAAGTGTTTGGTCTGAGGCCAGACTTGAACTCAGGTCCTCCTGACTTCAGGGCCGGTGCTCTATCCACTGTGTCACCTAGCTGCTGCCTGGACTTGGAATTAGCAAGGTTTAGCTTCAAATGCCACCTCACTGATTAGCTGCAAGTCATACAACCTCTCTGGGCCTTGGTTTCCCCAGTTGTAAAATAAAGGGATCGGATTCGATGGCCTTAGATCTCTTCCAGCTCTCCATCTGTGCTCCTCATTTTAGATGCCCAAGGACCAACATCTTCTCAGAGGGGTCAAATTCTGGTGCTTCATTGTGTTGGCCCACCAAAATAAATGAAAATACAACACAACATAGATGATGTAAATTGGTGGTTTTCTAAGTCAAAATGCAGTCTGCAGGGATCCATTTCTATTTGAACTGGATACCAGTGCTCCACAGCATCCTTACCACAGGGTCCCAATTTTGGAAGACCTTCAATGACAACTTATTACCTAACGCTAAGATGATCCCCATTTTACAGATATGGAAACGAAGGCTCAGAGAGGGATCCCAGGATTTAGAACTGGAGGGACCTTAGGGACCATTTAGATTCAATCCTCTTATTTTACATATGAGTAACCTGAGACCTAGGGCAGTTGAATGACCTGCTGAAAGTCATAGAGGTGGTGAATACAAGCCCAACTAAGATTTGAACCCAGGATTCCAAAGTCAACAAGTACATTTTTCACTATACTTCATGGACTTTTCATACAAGGCTGCTTCCCCAAGAGGGTAACAAATCTCCCTTTTATTGTGTGGGAGATGGAGAAGGAAATTCTTTTCTGGTCCAGTCTAAGCCCTTTGATCCCAAACCACCCTTACTGACTTTCTACCCTCTAACCACCAGAAACTGAATTTTCTTTGCCTCCTCCTCCCCCTAACTAGCCGCCCCAGGGGCTGGCTGTTCGGCAAGCCCCCACCTCACTCTGGGCTTGGTTTCCTTAGCCAGAAAGCTGAAGGGGTTAAATGAATGACCTGGAAGGGCCTTTCCATTTTGGCCAGCCTGTGATTGTCTATGCCAATTTCCAAACATTGAACTCGTCTCACATGGTGGGGTTGGGGGTGGGGGGTAGGGTCTTTGGGGCACTGCAGACCTGAAAACAGGAATGATCTTCCCTCCTCTCCCTCAAACGCTAAGCTAGGGTCTGAGCTGAGAGTCCAGAAGGAAGTAGAGAGAATCTGGCCCTATTGGGGAGGGGGAGGGGAAGGAGGAGGGAGGGTCGGGTCACAGACTGCCCTGGCTGGCCGGGATTGAGACCGTGGGAGCCGCTGGGAGCCTAGCCCTCCCGACCTCCCCCCTCCCATCCACCCCCTCCAGCCTAGAGGCAAGGCAAGGAGCTATTGATAGAAAGCCCTAATGTCAATAAGGAAAGTCAGCCTTCCTGGGAAGCCAGCTTCAATGGATCCCTCCCCAGCTAGGCAGGGGGTGGGGGAGACAGGGAGGCAGACAGGGAGAAATTAGGGCCCAAGTAGCACTTCGAGGTCTGAAGGATGCGGTCCCCAACAGGAAAGGTCTATGCCTGGTTTTATATTTAGAAGAGCTGAGAGAAAGGGAAAGAGAAACACAGATGCAGAGAGAGGGAGATAAGGGCTGACTTTGGATCGGAGGAACCATAAGCCCACAAAGAGAGAGGGTAAATGTCTGGCCTCATCTTTAAGGGAGGCAGGGGAAGAGAGGACAGAACTGGAATGCTCTAACTTGGGGAGACAATTAGCCCAAGACTAAATGTGGGGTTTAAATATCGTAGAGATGCATGCAGACAAAGCAGACAGAGGAAGAAGGGGCAGTAAGAGACAGCAGGTTTGTGCAAGGATTGTGAATGTTGGGCTTGATAGCGGGGAGCTGAGGGTGGAGAGAACCGCTCCTGATGTCCAGAGACACCCTTACTTATTTAAGATGACGTGGGTACATTGAGAACTGAATTATCAAACAAGTGCTTCCGGAGTCTTAGCAGCTTGGAACTAGATCATTTAGCTCCAGATTAATCATCTAATTTTGGAGGGTGACCCCCATTACTGGAGAACTTATTTAGTTAGCATCCCCACTCTGCAGACTGAGCAAGACATAGGTACTCAGACAAATACAAACATACACATAAACAGAGATTCAGAAATAGTTTCACTTTCCCTGCAAGATGTGGGTGTTGGGGGTGAATTCCAAGGAAGATCCAACAGGCTGACAACACCTGGAGGGGGTGCCCATATAGAAGGGCAGACAAAAGGGATTGTAGGTGGCTGAAGGTTGGGGTGGGTGGGAATCCCTCCAGTAAGGACTGGGCCACTCTGGCTGCCCAGGCTCTGCTCCAGGACTAGCTCTTCTCCCCAAGAACCACACAGGGCTTCAAGGGTGCATGCTGGGACCAAGGAATACTGGACACCATGAGTGTCCCCATTAGGCTGCCCCCCAATAATC